GGAGAACAAGGGTATAAAAAGAGAAGGTAGCAATCAAAGTATATTTGGTAAAATGTCATGCCTCAATTTTTTATCTTCTCATTTGTTGAGGTCTTATTTATTATAATCATTCATAATACCTTTATTTTGGTAGATGTCTTATATTTCCTGATTCAGTGGAAATTCCTTAAGTATACTATGGTCTTCATTTTGTCTTGTCTCTCACTCAGGGAATAAGCTTTCCATACCCATCTTCGTAGAACTTCATCTAAGAGAACCATTCTCTTTTACTTATTTTTTTGTTTGCTTGTTTATTTATTCATTTAGAATTCTAAATTTCCCTCTTCATCCTTCTCTACTTGAAAATTATTGTCTCTACTTTTTCTCCCCTCAGTCCTTCTTTCCTGTTGCCTTTTTTTTTTTTTCTTAGGCAGTGGGGTTCAGTGACTTGCCTAGGGTCACACAGATAGTAGGTCTTATGTGTCTGAGGCCAGATTTGAACACAAGTCCTCCTCAATCCAGGGCTGGTGCTCTATTCACTGCGCCACCTAGCTGCCCCTTCCTTGCTTTTCTACCCCCTTTCCAGCTGATCTCCAATTTAGGTGCTTGCAGATCAGTTACCTTTAAAAAAAAAAAAAAGGCCCCATACTTTTTTTATATACGAAGTATAAACAAGAGAGACTTTATTATTCATGGTTTTAATAATCATCACTTTATTGACCATTTTGATATAAGTTTAAATAAAGAGAACATTATTTTTTTTATTAATTTATTTTGATTTATCAATAATCACTTCCATATGCTTTCGAGTTTAAAATTTTTCTCCCCCTTCCTCCTCACCACCCTCCCCAAGATGGTGCATAATCTGATATAGGCTATACATTTACATTCATATTAAACATATTTTCACATTAGTGATGGAAAACATTATTTTCGTTCCTTTTTTTTTTTTTTTTTTTTTTTTAGGCAATTAGGATTAGCTGACTTGCCCAGGGTCACACACCTGGGAAGTGTCAAGTGTTTGGTCTAAGGCCAGATTTGAACTCAGGTCCTCCTGACTTCAGGGCCAGTGCTCTACCCACTGTGCCATCTATGTTATTTTCAATATCAAGTTCAGCCACTTTCATTGAGACACCCTTAGTAATTAGCATCATTGATGGTCCTCTAACTGATTACCCCCAGGGCAGATAATGAGTGATCCTGGGGTACTTCCTTCATTAGGAATTCCAAAAGAGAAATAAGGGCAGAGAGGCCCTTCAAAGACTGTATTTGAGAGACTATAGATAAGGGATCTGGCTGTGACATCATAAAATGCTATATGTCCCTTTTCATAATCAAGAAAAATGCCTACTTTGTGTACAGGCTGCCTCAATTGGAAGCCATTTTGTGAATTCACAAGGAAGAAACTATTTCCAGATGTACAGTCTGCTAGGGTCCTTCCACCCTCAGATGAGGAGGAGAGTTTCCCTTTTCTGCCGACTGAATCTTTACAGATGCCCAATTCCCACTCTGTCTTATCACCCACCTCCACTTCCCAATAGTGTTTGCCATAGGTGAAGGTCTGGGCCCCCAAAACAGCAAGAGCATAGTCAAATCTCCCTTTGTGGTCAGGCAGGTCCTGAGGGACACTTCCATACTGGACCCTCTTCAAGTCCTCAGACAGGATGAGGTGAGGATTGGCTGATTCAGGATCAAGAGTTATATCCCTCTGGAAACTTAACAGCACTTCCCTCAAGCCTGTGATGGGGTAGGAGGTCAAGCCAGGTGAGGCAAGCTCTGGTTCTGGAAGCAGCAGCTCCTCACTGCTTTCCAAAGTGCTTGTCATGTCCTGCAGCATTTCCAAGGGCATCTTGTTCAAATTCTCCTCTACTTCTAAAATAATTTGTTGCAGATTCTGGATTTGTTGGGACAGCCTGGCCTTACTCTTCTCCAGTTTGACCAGGTTGTCTGTGGATTCCTTATCCAGTCTCTTCAAGTACTGATATTCTTCATCCCATAAGAACTGGTGCATTTTCCCATATTCGGAAATAACTGACTGTTTCAAAGTGTAGGTTTCCTCTTTACAGCGTCTCTCTCTCCTTTTCATTTTGTCGAATGCAGTTTTAAATTCCTCTTCTTTTTTCTGTAGGGCAGTCCTTGTCTCCTGGAGCTTGTCCTTGCATTTCCCAGAAGCTGTTTCCAAGGGAAGGACTTTGTGATCCTTATGCTCTGGGGCTAATAAGCAGGAATTGCAGAGGAGCCTCTCGTCTTCCTCACAGAAGAACTTCTCTTTTTCCCCGTGTTGATCACAGGTGGTCAGGACCACCACACTCTGCAGCAAATGGGATCTCAGCACTTTACCAGCTATTGACAAATTGTGCAGGTTCTCGTTGGGCACGAAGTCATTGTATTTGATGACTCTTCTGCACTCTGGGCAGGTTAAGGTTTCATCGACTCCCTCCCTGCACTGGAGAAGACACTTTATGCAAAAGCTATGGCCACATTTGACAATCACTGGGTCAGTGAAGTAGCTCAGGCAGATGGAACAAGTGAGATCTACCTTGAGGTTTTCAATTAAGTCTCTTGCATCCATGTTCCTAGGCCTCTGATTCTTTCCTTCTCTGATATTCCTCTCAGGAGAAATAATGCTAGCTCTTCCCCTTGAGCTCTGGCAGCAAAAGATAGAAGCACTGAGTTGTGGGAGTCTTTTTATGTGGCTTCCTCTGCTTAGCCCCTCCCTTTACTCCACCCCCCCCAAAGGTGAGAACTCCTATTTTTTGAGAGGGCTTCCAGGCTCTGCTGTAGGGCTGAGTTTTCACCCTTCTTCTAATCCCACAATTCAGCATCACCATCTCTTGAAGAAAACATTTTTACTTCCTCTTAATACTTGCAAAGGTCTCCTAATTGGGTCATTTAGCAATAATTTATCTCATTTCCAAGCCTCAGAACTATTCTGATGTTCTGAGATGGAAAACAGAGCAAGGAAAACCCCCAAACATCATCTGTGTCCTCCAAACTGCCTCCTCCCATAACCAACACACATATTAAACTTTGACATTTTCCCCCTCAGTCTCTAATTTTTGTCCCCTCTCACTGTTATGATTCACTGAGTATATCAAGATGTCTTTTTTTTAATATAAAGATTTTTTTAAGAGAAACTTAATTCTGATTCCTTTCTTAGATATTCTACTCAGAAAGGATAAAGCTCCTTCCTCAGAATTCTGCCACAAAGACTTGAGAACTGACTTGATGGTGTCTTCTTTCACACCTTCTCCCTTTAAGCTCCTTTTTACCCCTCCCTCAAAAGGTGAGAATTCCTCCATCCCAAAGTACTTCTAGTCTCTTCAATGGAACAGAATTCTCACCATTTTCCCTTTCCAGAATTATGGCCCTCAAGGTTCACAATAGTGTTCAAACCTAGGCATTTTAGACCAGAGTTATCTTGTCCTTCAATCTTGTGAAGACTGGATAGAAATTATCAGATTTTTAATTGGAGACAGTGACAATATCAGTTTTGTTTTAGAATGTCTTCTTTGATGTGATAGCCCTGAGAAGGGGAGAAAGTGAGGCTGGTGACCTTACACAGCCCTCCCTAAAATCCAATTCACTTGCAAGTCATGGCATCATCTTCCTGATGTCATGGTCCTCTTCAAGAAGGACAATAAACATCAGCCTCAGTTTCTTCAACTATAAAATAAGGATAATAACAATACCTTTATCACCTACGAGTTTTTGTGAGGATCAAATAAGATTATATTTGTAAGGTGCTTAGCACAGTGACCAGTACATGGTAGGCACTATATAAATACTTACTCCCTTCCCTATTATATCTATATAGCTTGCTGTTTCTCCCTGTCCCCCACCTCCACCGCAGACTGTTAGCTCCCTGGAAGTATAACTGTTTATTATCTAAACTTGATCTCTCTTCCAACTCCCAGCATAGTGTTGAGTATATGTTTAATAAATGTCAGTGTTGATGATGGACTATTTTAATAGCTTCCTAATGAGTCTCCGTGCCCACAGTCTTTCCCCTCTCCAAACGTAATTCATTATATTGCCAAAACTACCTTCTAAATGCAAGCCCTGATCTCATTACTACCCCTGCTAAAAACCCTTTATCAGTTCTTCATTACTTAAGGATAACTGTATCTCATTCCTCCTCCTTCTGCATTCCTTCCCAACTAGCCTTTTTGCTGTTCCTCCAACTTGGAATTGGACCTTTACTGCACATATTCCTCATCTTAGCTCCCTTCAAGTCACAGTTCAAGTGCAATTTCCTTAATTTACAGCACAAGATTTGCTGCTTTGCACATAGTAGGTGCTTTAAAAGTTTGTCAAATGCTGAATAAATGCAATTCCTTCCACAACTGGGTTCAACCCCTCCTTTACAAATATATTTCTTGCTATTCCCCTTCACATATTCAGCATTGTGGCCCAACTGGACCAGGGGCCATTTTGCATCTCCAAGCATTTGCACATTATAATACTTTTCTATATCTTTGTTCAAATGTATCCCTTCCTTTAAAATCCTGCTCAAGTATAACTATACCTATGACATTCCCTGATTGCTCCTATTCCTCTCCAATCTCTTCTACCCCATTTGATCTGCATAATCACACTGTAGTTTATTTGTGTAAGTGCATTAATTCCTTTACTAACTTGTAAATTCCTTGAATTAATGTATTTACAAATTATAAGGGCAGGAACTGTATTTTTTCATCTTCCTATTCCAAAGCCTAGTGTGGGAATGATGGGGTATGGGCCCAAGCCGAGACCTTTGCTCCTTACCCCAAAGGAATTTGGGTTCCATTTGTTTCAGGGGGGAATGATGAGGTACCAGCACTGGGAAACCTTCCCCCCAACTCTCCTCTCATGGACTTTGTCCACTATGAAGATAAACAGGGCTGGTGCCCATGTGGTCTGAATAGCAGCTGGCTTTAGCTTTAGACATGGTTAATTGGAAGGGAAATATTAGCATGTTTTTACTCATCTTCTTTAAAAATAAAAAGAATTTTATTGAAACAATTAGCAAGAATGCTTGTTATAACCCAATCATGATTTTTAAAAAAACCCACAAGTACAATCTGGTATCTTTCATTCGAACTCAAGTAATTACATTGTTTCTTCACTCTTTGCACTAAAAACTACTCCTAGCTTTTCTGCCTTCCATCCATAAGAGAGAAAAGATTACTTAAAATCTAGTTAAATCAAGGCACCTAGGTCCATCTCTACACTGATGTAAAGAGATTTAAAGTAGTTTTATTACCGTTTTATTACTGCTAGAGATTCGTCTCTCCAAGTACTAGGGACTAGAGCTGGCTAGGAGCTCAGTAAGTACCTTGAGGGCAGAGAAGGGGGATGGGTGTCAGACTAGGTAAATGGGAGGCAAATCCATCTCAATCCTTCTTCCCTCCAGGGGCCTGGGTATGATTAAACAACTTGACTCCACTGGAAAGTGAGTGTGTAGAAACAGTAGGCACCTCCAGCTTCACCTTATCTAGGAGGGTTTTCTTTATGGCAGCTGGGGAGATCTTCTCTTGGTCAGCCATGAACTGTAGCTCCCTGCAGAGAGGATATTAAGGGGGTCAGGCAGCAGTGGTATTAGAACTGTCACTGAAGGAGAGGGCAGAGAAACCGTCATGGAGCCCGATTCAGTCCCTGGGACTTGAAACTTCCAAAATTGCTGCCCTGCCCCTAACTACAAAAAGAACAAGATGTGAATGGGATGCGTTTGTCTGATTCATTCTGCTTGTCTCATCTGTCCCATCTCAAAGGAGATGGTAAGGGATCTCTGTAATCAATATATAGTATATGCATAAACCAGCTGAACCGCTGAAAAAACATACAGGCAACTAGAAGGTTACTGATGAGGCAGGGCAGGCCTGGGCTACAGGGCCTCTTCTGGGGAGAGAGTGACCAGGAGATGAGGAGGGAGAGTTGAACCTACCTGGTCCGGATGCAGGAGGCTTCAACAGCATTGATGAGTAAAGATCGAAAACCACCACTTTCCAAGAAGTGCAAAGCATGAATGGTGGCTCCCCCAGGGGAGCAAACATTGTCCTTGAGCTGTCCGGGATGCTGCTCTGAGTCCAGGAGCATCTTAGCAGCTCCCTTACAGGAGTAAAAAGAAACAGAGAAAGGAATACAGTCACTAAGTGAGAGAACAGGACAAGGTTTCTTAACTTGAGGTCCATTAACTTGTTTTTTAAAAACAAAATTTTGGCAATTATGGTCAATATCTTTGGTTTCTTTTGTAATCCCATATGTTTCATTTTATGAATTTAAACATTATTCTAAGAAGGGGTCCATAAGCTTCACGAGATTGCTAAAGGAATCCATGACAAGTCATGCAAGCCTGCATTACAGCCAAGAGCTCTTTTTCCCCAAGACCTCCCCTTACCACCCTCACTCCAAGATATTCACCTATGTACCACGATGAAGCACAAGAGGAACCCTGTAATATGTCATGCAAACAAAAGGCAGAAGAAGAGAGGCAGGGATACTGACCAGTAAGGCCTGTGCACCCAGGCGGACTGCCAGTCTCCTTGGGAGGCCCATCTTCACCCCACCATCTGCTAGTGCATCCAAGGCCATAAATGCCTGCAGAGGAAAAGAATAAGTTCTGTATGGGAAAGGATGGGAGGGGCACGTTGATGGCCCTCTTAAGGGAACCTGTTCCCTAAAGTTATTGGACATAATCCCAGGAATCTAACCCTTCCCCTATTAGTTCTGCCCACAGCAGGGAGGACTGGCCAAGGACCCAGCCAGGAAAGACTACTGAAGACCAGTGACTAAACCTTAGCCTTGCTCCCTGCCTTTCCACCATGCCTCAAGTAGCTCAATATTGGGAAAACTTGATCATCCTTTAAAATCCCATTAGTCTTGGGACTCCACCTCATCACTACTTTCTGTTCCTCTTATTGGAGAGTGGAACCATGGAGCTTAGCTCAAAAAATCTACTCCTTTCTCACCTGGTGGTATTACTTTGGGATTTCTGACTTTTCCATCATGATCCCAGGCAACTTCCCCTACCCTGTCCCTTCCCTCGTCAGCTTCCTTTTGTGTGCAGTCTTCCCCCAGAAGATTATAAGCAACTTGAGGGCAGGGACTGTCTCCTTTTTGTATTCCCAGTGCTTATAGGTGCTTAATAAATGTTTAGTAAGCAACTGATCTCCAAAGTTCCAAATTAGTATACCCCAAGATTTCTCCCATTCAGAGTTCTTAAAGGAAGGAAGAAGCGAGTTTACCAGGAGCCCTCTCATTTCCCTTGCCCCCCACCCAGTTCCAGCTCTCACATAGGCAGGACCACTGCCACTGAGTCCTGTGACGGCATCTATCAGGTCCTCTTCCACTTCTATGCAGAAGCCCACACTGCTCATGAGCTGTTCTAGGAGTTTCCCATCCTCCACCAGGGCATGGGTACCAGTGGCATATACTGTGGCTCCTTCCCGGACCAGTACAGGGGTGTTGGTCATACATCGAATGACCTTGGGGGCTGGCTGGAATGCTGTCAATTTCTGAGGAAAGAAATAAAATAAACTCCCAGTTCTGATTTCCTGATGCCTCTCCCCATCCCAACTTGCCATTCCAAACTCCTCTCCCTACCAGTCACTGAGTGCTTGTGCCCCAGCACCTTGGGAGCCTGACCTTTTCCCATTCAGGGGCAGGAAGGAGAGTTGTGGTACCTTCTCAATGGAGCTGATCGTGACACCAGCAGCACAGGAGACCACGATGTGTCTGTCCTTGATATCAGACCCAATCTCATCCAGGATGAAGGGAATAATGTGAGGTTTGACAGCCAGGAAGAGCACATCACTGTGCTGCACTGTTTCCTTGTTGTGGTGGGTCAGCTTCACACCTATCTTCTGCAGGAAGTAACAGGTTCAGGAACTGAAAATTAGATTCAAGAGCTAGAATGGCCCACCCAGATTCAGGACTTTCCCAAAGGGACAGTTAGGTCACTAGCCTGGCCTCTCTCTAATCAGCAGAAAACAAATTTAGTATCCTTATCTTTCTATAATGCCCTCTCATTCCTTCCAAATCCCCTGTTGTTGCTATTAATGGGCCGGAAAAAGGAGAGGAAGGAAGAGAGAGATGTTAGATGTCTCCTTCCCGGGGGAGGCCAAGTGGCTTTCTATTCTACTCCTTGGAAAATAAGACTCTCTACACTAGGATCCTATCATGAGCCAGAAATGGCAAAACACTTTGCCAGGTAAAGTCTTTTTTATTTTTGTCTTGATAATTTATTTATTTATTTTTTTTTGTTTTCAACATTTACTTCCACAAGATTTTGAGTTCCAAATTTTCACCCCATCTCGCCCCTCCCCCCACCCCAAGATGGCATGCATTCTGAATACCCCTTCCCCTAGTCTGCCTTCCCTTCTATCTCTCCCCCACTTCTCTTATCCCCTTCCCCTTCAATTTTCCTGTAGGGCAGGATGGATTTCTGTATCCCATTTCCTGTATTTCTTATTTCCCAGTTGCATATGAAAACATTTTTTTAAACATGTGTTTTTAAAACTTTGGGTTCCAAATTTTCTCCCTTCCTTCCTCCCCACCAACCCTCATTGATAAGGCAAGCAACTAAATATAGGTTATATATGTGCAGTTATGCAAAACACTTCCATAGTAGACATGCTGTGAAAAACTAACTCTATTTCCCTTAATCCTATCCCACCCCCCCATTTATTCTATTCTTTCTTTTGACCCTAATCCTCCTCAGAAGTACTTGCTTCTGATTACCCCCTTTCCCAATCTGCTCTCCTCTCTATCATCCCCCTACTCTCTTGTCCCCTTCCCCCCCCATTTTCCCATAGGGTAAGACAGATTTCCACACCCAATTGAGTATGTTATTCTCTCCTTAAGTCAAATTCTATGAGAATAAGATTCACTCATTCCCTCTCACCTTCCCCTGTTTCCCTTCCACTGTAAGAGCCTTTTCTTTTGTTTTGGTTTTTTTTTGTGAGATAATTTATCCCATTCTACCTCTCCCTCTCTTCTTCTCCTAGTATAATCCTCTCTCACCCCTAATTTTATTCTCCAGATATGACCTCTTCATCTTCAACTCACCCTGTGCCCTCTATCTATCTATCTATATCTATATATACACACATATATAATTTTTTCCCTCCAACTACCCTAATACTGACAAAGGTCTCATGAGTCACAAATATCATCTTTCCATGCAGGAATGTAAACAGTTGAACCATAATAAGTCTCTTATGATTGTCTCTTTCCTGTTTACCTCTTCATGTTCCACTCAAGTCTTGTATTTGAAAATCAAATTTTCAATTCAACTCTGGTCTTTTCATCAAGAATGCCTGAAAGTCCTCTATTTCACTGAATGACTATTTTTTCCCCTGAAGAATTATACTCAGTTTTGCTGGGTAGGTGATTCTTGGTTGTAATGCTATCTCCTTTGCCCTCCAGAATATTATAGTCCATGCCCTGCGGTCCCTTAATGTAGAAGCAGCTAAATCTTGTGTTATCCTGATTGTGTTTCCACAATACTTGAATTGTTTCTTTCTGGCTGCTTGTAATATTTTCTCCTTGACCTGGGAACTCTGGAATTTGGCCACAATATTCCTAGGAGTTTTCCTTTGGGGATCTCTTTCAGGAGGAGATTGGTAGATTCTTTCCATTTCTATTTTGCCCTCTGGTTCTAAAATATCAGGGCAGTTTTCCTTGATAATTTCTTGAAAGATGATGTCTAGGCTCTTTTTTTGATCATGGCTTACAGATAGTCCAATAATTTTTAAATTCTCTCTCCTGGATCTATTTTCCAGGTCAGTTGTTTTTCCAATGAGACATTTCACATTGTTTTCTATTTTTTCATTCTTTTGGATTTGTTTTACAGTGTCTTGATTTCTCATAAAGTCATTAGCTTCCATTTGCTCTATTCTAATTTTTAAGGAAGTATTTTCTTCAGTAATCTTTTGGACTTCCTTTTCCATTTGGCCAATTTTGTTTTTTAGGGCATTCTTCTCCTCATTGGCTTTTTGGACCTCTTTTGCCATTTGGGTTAGGCTATTTTTCAAGGTGTTATTTTCTTCAGTATTTTTTTGGGTCTCCTTTAGCAAGCTGTTGACTTGTTTTTCATGATTTTCTTGCAAAACTCTTAGTTTTTCATCTACTTCTCTTACCTGCTTCTCAAAATCCCTTTTGAGCTCTTCCAAGGCCTGGGACTGATTCATATTCTTCTTGGAGGCTTTGGATGTAGGAGCTTTGGCTTCGTTGTCTTTTTCTGGTTGTATGTTTTGATCTTCTTTGTCACCAAAGTATTATAATATAGTCTGATTTGTTTTGCACTGCTTACTCATGATCCCAGCCAATTACTTGAGTTTTAAACTCTTTGTTAAGGTAAAAGTCTGTTTCCAATGTGGAGAATGTACTGTCCCAAGCTTCGGCAGGTGTGTACAGCTGTTTTCAGAGGTACTTCTAGGGACCTGAAAATTTTCACTTCTTCCAAGGTGTTATGATAAGGGGCGAGGTGTTTTCTCTCCACCGCCACAACAAGCTTCACCACACCAGTATTCCTCCTCGCCTCAGGACTGCCCCTCAGAACTGTGACCCAGATCTAAGCACCAGTAAAACAAGAGATTCCTGCCTCAGCACTGGCAAAGAGATCCCTGTAATCCCCCTCTGATCAGCCACATGATTCCCCCTCAGTCTGTGGGCAGGACGCTCAGTAAACAGCTGCGGCCCCGGGAGTGGCTGAGACCTAGCTCCTTCTCTCACCACAGTCACAGACTTTTCCCACTGACCTTCCAAGTTGTCTTTGGCGTTCATGGGTTGAGAAGTCTGGAAACTGCCACAGCTGCCCACGATTCAGTCCTCTGAGGCCTGCTCCAGGTAAGCTGTGGCCTGCACGCCCACACCTTACTATGCTCCTCTCCCAGCCCAGTGTGATATACCTTTCTGATCAACCATCCAGGCTGTCTTGGGCTGGAAATTTGTTTCACTCTGTCTTTTTGTGGGTTCTGCTGCTTTAGAATTTGTTTAGAGCCATTTTTTATAGGTATTTGGAAGGGTTTGGGAGGAGAGCTCAAACAAGTCACTGCTTTCCCTCCGCCATCTTGGCTCCCCCAGGTAAAGTCTTGACTATGTGAAATATGGTTGGTAATCTGAGGCATCATCATTATCACAGTAATTATCACTTATATTGTGCTTTAAGGTTTGCAGAGCATTTTATATGTATTATCTCATTAACACCACACTTTACATTCTTCTTATCCACTTAATGTCCCAAGTGGTATATTTATTTATTTTGTTCTCCTTACTAGATGGTAGCCTTCTTGAGGGCAAGGATGTGCTACATTTTTCTTTGTATCTTTCCCCTGCACATAGTATCATACATATAGTTTTCTGGCTCACCATGGCCAAAGAATTGCTCATTTATTGGTCAACATGCTGGTGATGAGTGTCTATTTACTAAGCCAAGGTAATATTTAGATGGCAGACATAATTTATCCCCAGGACATGCTCAAAAACCTTTCCAGCTTTGTTGGACCAGACAGGGCTCGTGCTCTGCTGGCAAGAACCCAAGAGCATTTCCATGCCATAAGTTATTAGTATCTGCTGAATGGATGGAAGCCTGGACCTAGCAATGGAACACAAAACGTGTCCTATCACTCAGTTAGAGGCAAAACTGGTAATAGCATGATAGCTCTACCTCCCAATCTAGGTCACTTGTCCATTAGGCCCACAATGCTTTCAATGTTGGGGTTTGGAGTTTGAAAGCCCCTACTAATAGAATTTTAAAAGGGAAACAAAGGCCACTCCCTATGTTAGACACCCTAACCCAACTTGAGGCAGTTTAGCATAGTGAATAGAGCACTAAATTTGGGGTCAAATGATATTATTTGATGTTAACTTGAAAGGAAGGCTTTAGTGGAGTGATTCTAGGCTCTGTGCTTGGCCCTTTGCTGTTTAACAAGTTCAGCAATCCAGAGGCACTGACTTGAACATGACTCTTCATCTCCTGACTCTGAGCATTTCCACTGACTGTCTCTCAAGCCTGAAATGCTTTATCGCCTCATCTCTGTCTCCTGGCTTCCCTTAAGTCCCAGCTAAAATCCTATCTTCTGCAAGAAACCATCCCTAGTCTTCCTTAATCTCAGTGCCTTCCCTCTGAGACTACTCAGGGACTGTTTGTTTTTTACCTTTGTACTCTCAGGCTAGCACAGTGCCTGGCACATAGCAGGACCTTAATAAATACTAGTCAATTGACTGAATTAGATTAAGACATAGATGGCCTGCTTAACAAATCTGCAGACAATATAAATCTGAAAGGAATAACTAATACACTGAATGACATAGGATCCAAAAGGATTTTGACATCTGGATCAAATCTAAGAAGATCCAATTTTATAGGTTTAAATGCAAATTCTTATATATGGGTTCAAAAAATTAATTTCACAAATACAAGAGGTATGGCCTGACAGCCATTCACTTGCAAATAGATCTGGGTATCTTAGTAGAGCACAAGCTCTCTGAGTTAACAGTGTAATAATAACAGCCAAAAAAACTAATATGCACCAAATAATTCATAGCAACCCTTTTCTGTGGAAACAAAAAACTAGAAACAAAGTAGACAGATCACCATTGACTGGGGAATTGGCTAAACATACTGTAGTTAAAAAGTAATAGCATGTATTTAGTTTTAAGGTTTGCAAAGCACTTTGCAAATATTATCTCATTCTGTCCTTACAACAACCCTAGGAAGTGGGTGCTATTATCCCCATATTACAGGTGAGAAAACTGAGGCAGACAGAGGTGAAGTGAGTGGTTTAGGGTCACACAGCTAGTGAGCATCTGAGGCTACATCTGAACACTCAGATCTTTCTGATTACAAGTAGAGTGCTCAATCCATTGTACCACCCATCTGCCTCTAAAATGAATGGAATAAGACACAACTGAACATGAAGAATTCAGAGAAGCAGAGGAAGACAAATGGATAGAAGGAAAAGTAAGAAGAACCAGGAGGACAACATACACAGTGACTACAGCCAAAAGAAAACTGAATGCTGGAAAACCATAGCGACCAAACTGAGCCCCATAGAAAAGCTGGGAAAATGTACTCCCTTCTTTTAAGAGTCAGGGGATCACGGGTGTAGAATAAAGTATCTACTGTCAAGCTTGGTGGATTCATTGGTTTTGCTGAACTTTCTCTTTTTCTTTTAAAATATTTCTTATTCTATGCGTACAGAAGAAGGGAGGGATAGATTTGGAAATAAAGGTATTATAAAAAACAAAATGTATCAATAAAAAAAGATAAGAAAAATAAAAACTAATGTACTCTAGGCAGCATTTAGAGAGACAGAATTTCTAGGAATAGAGAGGTGACAGTCCCAGTGTCCTCTTCCCTGTCCAACCTCAGTCCAAGTGCCATATTTTAGGAAGGACATTTATTGATAAATTTTAGAGCATTCAGAGGAGGATGGTCAGGACCATAATGGGAAGGTCCTCCAGCCCTTGGAGGAACTAGGGAATTAGGGAACTAAGGAATTTTTGCATTGAAAAGAGCTTATGTCCCTAGGATCCAGCACACAGTAAGCACTTAAAGTTTGTTGAATTTTACCTGTTGAACAGAAGAATTATAACTGTCTTCAAGTATTGGAACAGGCCATGTGTTGGCTGGCTCCAGAGGGCAAAACTAGAAGCAATGCCCAGGAACTGCCAAGGAATGAATTCAGGTTTGATGTAAAGTAGGGCTTAGTGTCGCCCCATTTCTATTAAGAGTCTGCAGTAACTCCCTAGAGCACTAAGCATGAAGTGACTTGCCCTGGGTCACACAGCCAGTATATTTCAGATGCAGACTTCAGGTCCTCCTGGAAGCTAAGCTGCACAATGGATACAGTCCTGAACTTGAAGTCAAGAAGATGAGAATTTGAATTCTGCCTCAGACAGGTTCTCAGCCTCACTCCTCATCTGATGCTCACAGCACACTACCTCATGGGATTGTTGTAAGGATCAAATGAGATAACATAGGTAAAAATGCTCTATAAATGTTACTATTATTATATGTTAGGACCAGTTCTCTATCAACTATACCACATTGCCTTTGAGATATTCCTTCCATAACATTCTGCAACAGGCCAGGTATACTTGTTTACCAACCCCTGCCAGGGTTCTGTGCTGAGACTGAGAAATTGGGCCAAACCTGAAACTTGGTTTGTCCATGAGCCACCCTGGAATCAAGCAACTTAGTTTGGGGGGACAGATGTACCCACCTTATTTTCTCCCCACTATTCACACCTACCCTGAGTGCAGAAACTGTAGGCAGGTCCATATTGGGAGTGCTAGCCATTATCTTGTGGGAAGCCAGGATGCCTAGAGAAGACAAAGCTGTTTCAGTTCCAAGCTGGGCTGTGGCAGGGGCTGGGGTAGTTCTGAACCCTAAAAGTCAATGACAAACATTTCTGTTCCTCACACTCCAGCCCCTCGCTGTACGGATCCATTCCTATTCCTGGCATCATCACTTCCCAGTTTTCACGCGTTCTCAGTTATTTGGGATTTGTTGTTCAATTATGTCCAATACAAAGTGACCCCATAAATGACTTGTCCAGGGTCACAGAGCTAGTAAGTGTCCGATGCATCTCATCTCCTCAATACACTGAGGAGCTTAGGGTAGCTGAGTATAACTTCTAACTAACTCAGAACCCCGCCATCCTCCAGGGTCCCCGTCTCCTACCTGCTGCAGTGAAGCCCCTGGCGAGGGCAAAGGCCAACTGGCCGGCCCCAATGAAGCCCACGCTCATAGTCCTGGAGGCTGGAACAGGCTCGAAAAAAAGCCCTGAGATGCAGCTGTAAGAATATCAGATACGTGACCGCAGGCGAGAAAAGGAGAGAGCAGCCCCAGGGCTCTACTCCCTCCCTAGGAAGCCCTCCCAGAGCTTTGCTCTCAGGATTAGACACAGGCCTGCCTTCTGCTGTTTGCATTCCTGCAGCTGGTTAGCTCAGGCTCGCCCAGATTGGGTGACCAGTGGTTTCAATCCTCCCTAGTCCTGGGAAGCCCACCACCGGAAAAGGGGGATCTGGGAACTAACTGGGGAACGCAGAGGAAGGAAGGCGGGGCTTGACCCATCCGGCTTAGGCAACCTTCATCCTCCCCGCAACACCTCCCCTCCCCACCCCCCACCCCGCTCCGCTCCTGAAGCAGGTCTCCGCCTGGCAGCTGCTGCCACTTCCCCGGGAGCTTCAGGGGCCCGGACAATGGAAGCTGCAACGGCCAGAGCACCTACCAGGAGCTCGATGGAACTCCGAATCCCACCCTGCAGTTACCTGCGCCAAGGTCCACTCTACCTACTGATGCTCGGCGCCGCCCCGCACGATCCCAGATGAAGCGGGGAATGCAGGGACGTGCGTCCGACAGCGTGACCTGCGAGGGCCTCTCCAGCCCCTGCCCTCCCAAAACGTAACTACCGGCGAGCCTCACAAGACTTGTAATGCCTGTAGGAACTCCCCAGGGAGCCTTACACACTGTTGGGATGCAAATGACCCCAAACCATCATCCTAACACTTCCGGCCCGCCCCGGCCTCCCCCCACCCCGAGCACGTACGTCAAGGCCCAGGGCGGGCCAGTTAAATCTTATTTAGAGGAGGAGACAGAGAGCCCTTCGGAAGCCGAGGTGACCCAGAAGCAGCTTTTCAAACCCTCCTTCCTCCCTGACCTATGTGAGGCGCCCTTGGTTCTTCTCTCCATCAGACCGTGGACGACCTTTGAGGTCATCTAGTCCGAGCCCCTTGGTCTCAGATGAGAAAACCGAGGTCTGGAGGGGTGAAATTACTTGGCCAAGGTCAGACTGTAATTGGCAGAGCTAGGATCTGAATTTCCGTCCAAATGCAGCTATCCTTGCACTGACCCACCCCCTCTGATGGAACATTAGTGATACAACTTTTCTTTCAGAGCCCTGCCCCCTTTCCAAAATATTTGCTAGTGTGTACTAGAAGGTTTTCAAAGTATTTTACACATAATATCTTATTTGATCCTTACAACAATCCTATGAAGTAGGTGCGAATTATTGTGCATTTTACAGAAGAAAGCTAGAGTGAGAGAGGTTAAGTGATTTGCTTACCTGGTATCAATGGCAAGATTTGAACTAGGGTCTTCCAGACTCAAGGTTGCCTTCTGCTGATCAACCTCGATGCCCTTAAATGAACAAACTCATCAGGTGAGAGATGTGTGTAGCTGCTGACCCCTAAGAGTCCCTGGTTTTAGTGGAATTGAGGCTGGGGTCTGTACTAGCCCTAACCCTTCATCTGAACAAGCAACGGAGCTTAAGGTAAAGAAAAATAAATTAAGAATCAGAAAACCTGAATTTGTGTTCTGGCTTTGTGACCTACCAGCTGTGTGAGGTTGGAAAGATTTCATTCTTCTCATCTTCAAAACCTTCATCTGTAAAATTCAAATTCAAATTGTTAAGTACTTACCATTGCAAGACTCTTGTGCTGGGTGCTAGGGATGCCAAGGGAAAAAAAAAAACAGTGCCTCGAGATGCACATAAAGGAAACATAATACGGGGCATACACAAAATCGTTTCAAGAAAGAGAGAATTCTAATAACAGGAAATCAAGAAAGGCCTCAGAGGAGGTGACACCTGAGCTGTGTTTTGAAGGAAGTTATAGATTCTGTAACCTGAAAGGGAAATGCATTCCATATGTGTGGGGGGGAGGTAGGGAACCAGGAACAGCTGGTTGACAGTTTGACTAGAAGGAAGAATGCATGAAGATGGGTAATAAGAGATAATCCATGGCCCAGCACCCCCTATCTCAGTGTTTATAGAATGGATTTAATCTTGGGGGTGGCCTCCAAAAATCATAATTCTTTTTGGTTCATATTGCTTCCACACTGAGTTGCTTCTTGGAAATCACAGAATATAGCCCCACAGATATAAGTAAAATTGACCCCACTCCTTATACAAGTACTCAAAATAACAATGCAAACATTAGGCATGTAAGAGCTTATGTACTAATTGATGAGCTCTAGAGGTTTGGGAGTGCTGGGACCCCAAAATCACGACACATGGGTCTTGCCCAAAAGAATTCGACCCAAGCCTTCTTTTAACCAAAGACAAGGTTTATTAAAGATCCGACATATTAGCCAGACTGTCAAGGAATCTGAGTATCTAGTGGCTAGATTATAAGAATCTAAGCAGTGGCTAGATTATAAGAATCTGAGCATCTTAATGAAGACAAGGTGGACCTTATATACAGAAAGACTGCAGGAGGAATCTAGGAGTGGCCAAGTGGTATACGAGGTAATAGAACTCTGGGGACCTGGATCACATGGCCAAGGGAGAATGGAACCTAGATAGGATTAAGGGTGAGAAGTGGCCTGGGGCCATAGGGAGGGAAGAGGACTGCGGGCTAGGCTAGGTTAATAACAGAATTGGGAAGTTGGGTGTGGGCAGTAACAAAAGGCCAGTTGATGGGATTATAGCCTCAGGCAAACGCCAGAGATTTGGCCAAGTGGGAAAGTCTAGGGTTTTTCCTTTTTGGGGTCTAGATCCCATCCTTATCACTACCCCCACCAAAAATACAGAAACCTCATAAAGACTCATAAGACCCTATAAACAAAGTAAATCTCCTCCCTTAACTATTAAATCCCATCTTCTACTACTTTGGGGAGGAGTTGACTAGATAATCTCTTAAGGCCCTTCCAGTTCTAAATTCTATAATCCTATGCTTTCATTCCCTCTGCAGGGACTCCAAAGACTCTGAAGTCAGAATCAAGGTTTAGGTTTGACTTTGGGTTATGTGTTGTACTTGATTTCATGGCAAGTTGATAATTGGGATCAGTTCTGACTTTGATAACCAACAAACTCTTCCATAGGGACTATTTTTTACAAGTTACCTGGTCTTAACTGACTCATGAGACTGATCTTGCACCCTGAATTTGGCCATCAACTTGAATTCTTGATTTGTTTTTGTGATTCCTTTTATATCATTTCATTATAGTAGTTTATAAATTTAAAAGGTGCTCTCTCTGGTAGCAGAGGTACCAGAATTAAGAGAGATTATACCATTAGTTTATACCACCCATAGTTTATCCGTTATACCATCCGTAGTTTAATTAATTCTTCAATTCTAATCAACTATTTACATACAAAATTTATTAATTTTCACTAATTATTAAATTGGTTTATAAGTATCCTTAAATCATTTTCATGTGTGTCTGAGCACCTTAAGGAGACAAGATGGATCTTATATACAGAAAGACT